AGAGAGAGAGAGAGAGAGAGAGAGAGAGAGAGAGAGAGAGAGATGGGTGAGCGTCCGTGCATAAGAGAGAGATATAAGCAGGCATGAGCGCAAGTTCGTGTTTGTGTATCTTTATTTTTTTGGTAAGCATTGTCATATTCCCTAATGAGATAGATAGAGAGATAGAGAAATAAAGAGATAGAGAGAGACAAATAGATAGAAAAATAGATAGATAGATAGATAGATAGATAGATAGATAGATAGATAGAGATAGATATAAAGAGAGAGAGAGAGATATAAAGAGAGAGAGAGAGAGAGAGACAGAGATAGAGAGAGAGACAGCGAAAGAGAGACAACGAAAGAGAGACAAAGAGAGAGAATGAGAAACGACAAGTAGGAGCAAACATTGCAGCGTAGGTGTGAGAGAGTGTGTCMCTTTCGCAAGTACGTCGTATCATATTAGTCTCTGATAAGAGACACACATTTCATTGGCTGCTTGTAGGGTGTGAACGAAGCAGGAGGCGGCGTGTGGAGCAGTGTTAGGGAAGAGAGAATGGTTTATGTGGAAACACGCAACGGGTTCAATGACTTCCGTGGGTGAAAAACCACATTACCCATCCTTATCTCTTCATTGTTCATCGAAGCATCCTTCTGTGACATTTGCAATGCGTGTCTGGCCACTTATGAGTCCGACGGAATGCAACACCTGCAATAGTCCGTGCATTATTGGATCACGCGTGGGGAAACAAAGTCGGAGTGGACGTTGCAACGTAGGTGTAAGAGAGTGCGTCACTCTTGCAAGTAAGCCGTAGTGTATTAGTCTCCGATAAGAGACAAACATTTCATTGGTTGCTTGTAGGGTGTGAGCAAAGCTGGATGAGGCGTGTGGAGTTACATCAGGAAAAAGAGAATGGTTTGTGTGGAGACATGCAACGGGTTCAGCGGCTCCCGTGGGTGAAAAACCATAGTTTGTGTTTGAGCGTTCAACGAAGGAACATGTGGGAGTTAACGACCAACAAGTGTTGAAAATACCCATTATACCTTGTCCTAGTATCCAACTTTCATCATTGCCTGAAAAATTGTTTGTGCCGCCAAATTGTAGTTATACCCAACTAGCGGAATGCTAATTATGTACGTACCTAGACAAATTTTTTACTTTCTAACCAAGGGTCTGTGTAGGGTATTATCAGGGTCTGGGCATAGATGCAAGTTGGGTGCTCGACTAGGTATAGTAGGTAGTCCCATCTTTACGTGGGGTACAAATGCAATTCCCCCCCCAAAAAAAAAGGTAATGGTGGTTTGAAATAAATAAATGGTAACTGAAAAATAATCTCAACTTGTTAGGCACACAAGTGACATTTCGGAGGGTTCAGTCCTTATGGTTGTCAGTGACACTCTTGGTGCCAACTAACGGAGATAGTCAGTTGGATCCTCACAGTCGGTATTAGTAAGGTCTCCAGCCAACATAGTTGTGAGTGCACGTGTGAATGGGTTGCGTGTGGTGTGTGGAGAGTGTTGGGGGTGAGGGAAGATGAAAGGCGGACACAATTACTGACAAATGCTTGGTCCTTGTGTTAGTCGGGCCCCCATTGACGTCCCCAACCCTGCACCCTAAACGCTAGGGCAAAGGGGCAAACATGCCGGTACCTCTTTCCACTAAAGAGAGGTAGCAAGCTATGCTTGCAGGGGTCCCATGTATAGCCTTAGGAGTAGTCGTAGGCAGGTAGTGAAAACAAAAGTTGCATTCAGGAGGTCGTGGGTTCAATCCCCATTGGCCTCACGTACATGCCTAGGCACGCTTGGTGTTCTACCAGCTAGAGATAACCCGTTGGCTCTCCAAGCCAACATTGGCGGGACCTTGGTCAAATATTGTTGGTTGCTATGCAGCAATGATATTCGCCATTAGACACCGCTAATGTGGGGTTGGAGGGGGGTAGGGGGAGGTGCAAGTGACTGACCAAAGATGCTCGGCACTAGCATCGCCGGTTTCCCCCATCGGCAATGCCTGATCACCCTGCATCATCATGATAAGGGGCTGATACAAGCCTTGCTCTCGCACCACTGCTGTGGTGCAAACCTATCCCGTGGGCTGGGGAGAGTTTCAGGTTTGGTTGGTGTTCCCCCGTACTATACATAGAGTAGCGAGAGGATGAGATGGAATATATACAAAAGAAGATTGAGAGAAAAATATGGATTACTTTTTATAAAAAATAAAAATAAAATAAAATATGTGAGGTGGGAGAAATATATATCTATTTGACGATATATAGATAATGAGTCGGTGAAACTCCGACGAAACAGTTTGTCACAGCCCCTCGTTTGTTGTCCTCTTCTCCCTCTCTGCCTAC